ATTGGAAGGGCAATCTCTAAGATCTGCTGCCAGTGACTTCGAAATTCCATTCAACACATTAAGAAGATATTGCTTCAAGTTTACACTAGAGGAACTACAATCAGAAAGAGAAATGTCTTCAATAATTGTTGGATACTTTAAAAATAGACAGGTAGGTTTTTAAAAAAATATACTTGATGATCTAGTTTCTAGTAAAATTTTTGGTTTTAGATTTTCACCGAGCTTCAAAAGTCCAATCTCACAGATTATATAAAAAAGCTGCCGATATTTACTATAGTTTCACGCCCAAAGAAGTGAAAAGATTAGCTTATTTATATGCAACTTCCTTGCACCTAACGGTTCCAAATAGCTGAAAAAAAAAATGAGATGGCAGGCCCCGACTGGTTTACATCATTTTTAAAGCGAAATGCTGGATTGGCTATAAGGACACCTGAAGCCACCAGATTGTCTAGAGCCACGAGCTTCAATAAAACAAATGTAGACAGATGTTTCAGCAATCTAGAAATTGTTCTTAGAAGGTATAACTTTAGTCCTATGGACATCTGGAATATGGATGAAACAGGGATTACTACAGTTCAGAGACCTGACCGAATTGTGGGTAGACATGGTGTCAAACAAGTGGGAAGAGTTACTTCGGCAGAACGCGGTACGCTTGTAACTTTGGCGTGTGCTCTTTCTGCTGCTGGAAATACTGTGCCACCTTTCTTCATATTTTCTCGTGTTCATTTCAAGTCCCATTTTCCCAGAGATGCCCCGCCTGGAAGCGATGGAAGTGCCAATCTATCAGGCTGGATGAAAGAAGTTCATTTTATACAATATATCCAGCAGGCGTCTGAAGAAAACCCTCTCCTGCTTTTGATAGACAACCATGATTCGCATTCATCTCCCGAAGCATTAAACATCTGCAAAGATCACGGCGTAACAGTGTTATCCTTTCCGCCTCACTTTAGCCATAAGCTCCAACCTCTGGATCGCAGTGTGTATGGACCGTTCAAGAAGTATGTCAATAGTGCTTATAATTCTTGGATGACTAATCGTCCGGGTGCAACGATGACCATTTATAGCATACCCAATATTGTTCGTACTGCACTACCATTAGAGGAAACTCCAAACAATATTAGAGCTGGATTCCAGGTTTCTGGAATTTATCCATTTAATAGAGATATTTTTCCGGACAGTGAATTTATGGTCGACAACTCCTTGCCAGACCAAGAGACTATTCCCAACCAAGACGTGCAACAAACTGGACCAAGCAGAATTGCAGAAAGTAGGACGCCCACGCCCCAGAATTCTCAGTATCTCCAGTCATCTAACAAGGTAGCAACATGTAGTTTTACAGATCTCGAAAATTGGAAGCCGTTTCCAAAAGCCGCAGAAAGGAAAGTGCAACG